AATATGTTCTTTTACAATGATATACAGTTGTGTTCAAAATAATAGCAGTGTGTTGAAAAAAAGTGAATAAAGCTCGAAATCCTTCTAATGGCTTTAATTTCCATACACACAAATGCATTGGGAACACTACACATTCTATTCCAAATCAAAACATGAAGAAAAATATATCAAATTTGTGTTGTTCCTCTAAAAAAAATTGAAGAAAAGTGAATATTAGACTGTTCAAAAAAATAGCAGTGTTTGTATTCTTTACAAACTCAAACATTCACTATATAAACTGAAAAATGTTTGAAGATTTTGCTTTCCTTTGAATCACTTCACTAATATTTAGTTGTATAAGCACTGTTTCTGAGAACTGCTGTACATCTGTGTTGCATGGAGTCAACCAACTTCTGGCACCTGTGAACAGGTATTCCAGCCCAGGATGATTGGGCTACATTCCACAGTTCTTCTCTATTTCTTGGTTTTGCCTCAGAAATGGCATTTTTGATGTCACCCCACAAGTTTTCCATTGGATTAAGAAGTGGGGATTGGGCTGGTCACTCCATAACGTCAATCTTTTTGGTCTGGAACCAAGATGTTGCACATTTACTGGTGTGTTTGGGGTCGTTGTCTTGTTAGAACACCCATTTCAAGGGCATTTCCTCTACAGCATAAGGCAGCATGACCTCTTCAAGTATTCTGATGTATTCAAACTGATCCATGATCCCTGGTATGCGATAAATAGGCCCAACACCGTAGTATGAGAAAACATCCCCATATCATGATGCTTGCGCAACCATGCTTCACTGTCTTCACAGTGTACTGTGGCTTGAATTCAATGTTTGGGGGTCGTCTGCCAAACTGTCTCCGGCCACTAGACCCAAAAAGAGCAATCTTACTTTAATCAGGCCACAAAATGTTGCGCCATTTCTCTTTAGGCCAGTCAATGTGCTCTTTGGCAAGTTGTAACCTCTTCAGCGCGTCTTTTTTCAACAGTGGGACTTTGCGGGGGCTTCTTGCAGATAGCTTGGCTTCACATAGGCGTCTTCTAATTGTAACAGTACTCACAGGGAACTTTAGACCTTCTTTGATCTTCCTGGAGCTGATTGTTGGCTGAGTCCTTGCCATTTTGGCTATTCTTCTATCCATTTGAATGGTAGTTTTTCGTCCACGTCTTTCAGGTTTTGGTTGCCATTTCAAAGCATTGGAGATCATTTTAGCTGAGCAGCCTATAATTTTCTTCTTTATATGTTTTCCCCTCTCCAATCAACTTTTTTAATCAAGATACGCTGTACTTCTGAACAATGTCTGGAACGACGGATTTTCCTCAGAATTTCAGAGAGAAAGACACTGTAACCAGCATGTACATTTGCTGCCTTCCTTCCTTAAATAAGGACAATAATTGCCACCTGTTTTTCAAAGAATGAATGACCTCACTAATAGAACTCCACACTGCTATTATTTTGAACATGCCCCTTTCAATTAGTGATTCAATTACACAGAATCAGCAGCATGCATATCATGACTATTGGGTCTGTTGGATTTATATCATTTCTACCAAAAACAGTGATTGATCAGGTTAGTGATGTCTGACTGCTATTATTTTGAACACAACTGTATACACACACACAGTATTCAAACTATATAACATGAAGACCTTACATGAAAGATTTGGGACTTTATGTAAACTTTATGTAAAGTCCTAAAATTATTGCAAGTTCTCTCAGCTAGAAAAAACAAGTAAATCCTGGAATATAATTTAAGTAACACTGTACTTCTCAAATCAGAGAAATATGTATTTCTGCTACTAGGGGGCAATGCATGGGGAAAGGCTCCAGTTTAGTTTCTTTGAAGGCTAAATCTTGTACCTCTTACAATTGGGTGATTGTTGGGATACAGAAAATTATAGTTTCTGTCCTCCTCTCAGTCCTAGATTGACAGGTAAAGAATACATTTGTCTGACAAATCCGACAATCTTTATAACCTTTAAATGGTTTCCTAACAATGTTCTACAGCATAACGTTTACCCATAGTCTGGTCAGAAAACTGGTTTATCTTTTCCTCCGCTCAGTAAAATGGTGAGACCAAATTCTAGAGTTTGGAAACATTTCCACAGTGCAAGAAATATTCTTTTCCAAAGACATCCTTGTATGCCAGAGGTGCCCTAAAGACATTAAAAATACTTTTTGGAAGTAAATTAGGAGGACTAGAATGAAAGTGCTTTTCCCTTGAGTTCTCAGTCCAGAAAACACGTTCTGCTTTTGGTGCTAAGGGGGAAAATCAGATTTTTTTGTTGCTTTTGAGGGAAAGGGGGGTGGTTATCGGTTCTCAATGTATAGCTGAAATGTTTTTTTAAAGCATTCAGTCCTTGTTATTCCTTTAGTAATCAAAAATGCAATTAAAAAAAAAAAAAATTTACTGAGTATGCTGTACTTTAAGTTCAAGCATAATACTTTTATATACACTGCATTTCATGTTCCAAGCGTAACAAAATTACTTTCAATTTGTAAAACTACTCCAAACTGAAATTTCCATTTATTCTGGGGAAAAAAAAGAAAAGAAAAAGGAGGAAAAAAAAAAAAAAAAAAAACCCAAAAAACTTTTTTTCCCCATAGTTTAAAAATTTCTGAAAATTGTACATCTCTAGGAGTGAGGCAAAGCCCAGCTTATACAGGACATATGAAGATTGCAATATAACTGCTATTATCTGGATCTACAGTTCATTCTGCATTTTAACTAAGGACTAGTTTATGCATGTTTTGTAATGCTTAGTTTTCTTTTCCCTGTGACAGGGGAGCTTTAAATCCATAATGCCAATGCAAAACCATATGTATTTGTTATATTGGAACAACATAATCACTGAAGTGATTGTAAATGCAGATTTTTTTTTTTTACATAACAAACATGACATACCTGCTCTGTGCAGTGGTTTTGCACAGAGCAGCCCTGATCCTCCTCTTCGCAAGTACCCAGCCGACGCTCCTGGCCCCTCCCTCCTGCCAAGTGTCCCCACAGCAAGCACCTTGCTATGGGTACTCCCAAACCACTGCTCTGTGTGCTCTCTTACAATGGCTCAAGATCGAGGGGCTCAGGTTGGTATTTGGGGGGGCGGCTGCTCACAGAAGGTCTTTTACAACCACTTGAAAGACCCAAATATTAATTTTAGCATTAAAAAACAGGAACTGAATTATGAGCACATTATGTGCACCTTAATAGCAGTTCATATATACAAAGTCCACTTTGAAGGAACAGCCAGCCCAAAAGTACAGGAGGATCCTATGGTCAAGACAGTCATTTTTAATATTAGAGAGCAATGCATGACAGTGGTGCAAATCAAATCAAAATCTGTTACTTCCTGCTGGGCACAGAAAAATATTTTCTTTTAAAAAAAATATTTTTATTCATGTAAAAATATAAGTGCTAATTGATTTGTAAACAGTTCTTACCCTAGCATAAAATTATAGATATTTTCTTTTATGAGTGGTGGTCTAATGTATTGTAAACTACAACACAATTAGATTCTAGTGCATATAAAAATGTATCCTGAGAATAATCTGTAATCTGAGAGTCAATAGATTTGTGTTTTAATCAAGACTATTTTGACCTTTTATGGCTGAGGATTATGGGTATATATTGCTTTCATCCTTGTAACAAAGCTTTAAAAGAGCTGGCCAACATGTGCCAGTCAAGTTCCCTTAAATGTTTTCACAGATTATCACTAAAAAAGTACAGAGCACAAAGCCAAAAGTAATAATTTTCTGATCACAAGGCAATTACTGATCATGAGGCAGTGTCCATCAACACTGGAAATATAAAAGTTGGACACACAACCGCATCTACTTGATAAATTTACAAGAGATTGCACAGTTATGTAGTTCACATCCAACCTCATGGGAAAAAAAATAGAACAGAAAGTTTAGCATGTGTCACCTATTTAAGAAAAAAAAATAATAATTATATCTTAGGGACCCAGTATGTTTTGTCTCTGTAAAACAAAAGATTGCACATTCATGCTTCAGCTGGAGCAGAGATAAACAGTCTACAAATGCTGTTCTTATAATCTATATGAATATATAAGAAAAAAAAAATGAAATACATATCCATCTCAAAAAACTAAATATTTTGCATAGATCTTACAGTAGAAAACAATAAGGGTAATAATTCGCAGCAGACTATAAAAAAAACTTTAAACAGGCACACTTTCTTGCAGTTATGACATAACAGGTTTCATGTTGCCAAAATAAAAGTTAATTTTTCTGATGTCATTCCATAATATAATGAAGTCCATTCCTCCATTTTTAAACAAATATGCATGAAACGTTTCTTGCAAGATGACTGAACTTTTGGAATTTTGAATTGCACTCAGTTTCATACTTGTTATCTCCCAAAAACTTAAAATTTGTTCAGTGCTAAACCATGCATGACATTCTCAGAGGTCTGCTTCTTCCCTTTGGCTTCCATTCAGCTTAAGTGCTATGTTTTTCCTACTTGTCAGTAAGAGGTTTTATCTTAAAAAAAGGTGCCATTTTTGTACAATGCACATCTCAATTTTGTGGAAATCATTTTAAATTTAAACTCCATAATTTTTTTTCTCATGTTATATAAAATGAATCTAATAGCTACTCTTTCATATAAGCAGTTTATAAAATTAAGGCATTTGCCAATTGGAATTATATTAAAAATTGATCCCACTTGTAATCATTGAAACAAAAGTCTGCAGAAAAAAATAGTGCTCTTCTTGGGATTTGTTCATTGCTCCATTTCATTTATTGTAATGAACCAAGTGCAAGGAGAATGGCCAAACTTCAATCTTTGAAAAAGGACAGATAGATTTTGCCAGATTCTAATTCTGTGAATCTGAAATTACATTGGTTAATTGATAAAATATTCACATGGTTAATTCTATAAGCAAATAGTAATCCAGGTGCAAAAGGTACTCCAAAAATGGCAGATGAAATCAAAACTTGACAGAAAAAATATAAAACTGCAGGCGTTTCCCTTTTTGCCCTGGGCATCTGCTAGGACTTTTGCAAATCAGGAGTAAAGGGTCCTGGAGTAGATGGACTGTCGAAGCTTGACAATGTGAGAGGAACATGGCTGTTGTAAGCAGAAGGAAACTAAAAACACAGAAAAAAAAAAAAAAAAAAAAGAAAGAAATGGATAAAACTATTCCAATAAATACAAAAGGGAAAAAAAAAAACAAAAAACAAAAAAAAAAAACACAACTATCTTTAAAATATATGAAAGATGCTAACTTGCAATTATGGTAGACACCCCACGGAAAAACTGATGGCAAGCACATGACTAATGCCAGAGCACTGATCACCTGATCTTGGTGCTTCTTTTGCCCATGAGGACCAAAATCTGGACAGAATTTGGAGCAGGGGTTGAAGGGGCAAGTTATTTTTGGAGCATTATCCCCCCCCCAGTCCATTTAGTTTTGTTAATTACCATAAAAAAAGTATGAAGTAAGAATCCATGAACTGCGAGAGTGCTCCTCAGCGCCCTCGCAGTTCATTGAGAACTATGAGCCATCAGCCACAATGGCAGATGGTACTTGTGGCTCATTCATTCATAGGAGACTGTGAATGAATGGTGCGGCCATGTGGGCAGAGCCCTGCACAGTTACGCCGTTTTCAAATTGTGACAGCGGGTGTGGGGAGAAGAACCCTCACCCGCTGTCACAAAGAGGGGAGCACTGACAGTAAGAGGTGGGGGCATAGGAGCATGTTACACCCTAAATATGCGTGTAACATGCTCCTATATGTCCCCACCTTCAGCTGCCAGCGCTCCCCTCTTTGTACCTTTTACACCTTAAATATAGGTGTGACATGCTCTTAAAAGTGAACTTATCCTTTAAAGGAAAGAGAAAGCCCCATTGTTCCTCATAGGAGTTTATTTATAACAAAGAAAAATGCAGAGCTATGCATCCTGTGAATGAGTAAAAGTACAGTGCCTTGAAAAAGTATTCATAGCCAGACCTCTTGAAATTTTCCACATTGTCATGAACCAAATATCCCTATTTGTTGCATAGTTTGCTTGAAAGGGTATATACCTCAGTTAGTGCCTTTGAAAAAGTATTCATACCTCTTGAAATTTTCCACTTTGTCATGTTACAACCAAAAACGTAAATGTATTTTATTGGGATTTTATGTGGTACACCAACACAAAGTGGCACATAATTGTGAAGTGGAAGGAAAAATGATAAATGGTTTTCCAAATTTTTTTTACAAATATCTGAAAAGTGTAGCGTGCATTTGTATTCAGCCCCCTTTACTCTGCTACCCCTAACTAAAATCTAGTGGAACCAATTGCCTTCAGAAGACACCTAATTAGTAAATAGAGTCCACCTGTGTTTAATTTAATCTCAATATAAATACAGCTGTTCTGTGAAGCCCTCAGGAGGTTTGTTAGAGAACATTAGTGAACAACCAGCATCGTGAAGGCCAAAAGAACACAAGACAGGTGGGGGATAAAATTGTGGAGAAGTTTAAAGCAGGGTTAGTTTATAAAAAAAATATCCCAAGCTTTGAACATCTCACAGAGCACTGTTCAATCCATCATCTGAAAATGGAAGGAGTATGGCACAATGGCAAACCTACTTAAACTGACAGGCTAGGCCAGGCCAGGAGAGTATTAATCAGAGAAGCAGCCAAGAAGCCCATGATAACTCTGGAGGAGCTGCAGAGATCCACAGCTCAGGTGGGAGAATCTGTCCACAGGACAACTATTAGTTATGCACTCCACAAACCTGGCCTTTATGGAAAAGTGGCAAGAAAAAAAAAGCCAATGTTGAAAGAAAACCATAACAATACCATTTGTAGTTTGCAAGAAGCCATAGCAAACATGGGAAGGTACTCTGGTCAAACGAGACAAAAATAACTTTTTGGCCAAAAGGAAAACGCTATGTGTGGCGAAAAAACTAGCACTGCACATCACCCTGAACACATCATCCCCATCGTTAAACAATGGTGGTGGCAGCATCATGTTGTGGAGATGCTTTTCTTCAGTAGGGACAAGGAAGCTGGTCAGAGCTGATGGGAAAATGGATGAGCCAAATACAGGACAATCTTAGAAGAAAACCTGTTAGAGTCTGCAAAATACTTGAAACTGGGGCAGAGGTTCACCTTCCAGCAGGACAACGATCGTAAACATACTGCCAGAGCTACAATGGAATGGTTTAGATCAAAGCATATTCATGTGTTAGAATGTCCAGACCTAAATCCAATTGAGAATCTGAGGCAAGACTTGAAAATTGCTGTTCTCATACGCTCTCCATCCAATCTGACAGAGCTTGAGCTATTTTTGAAAAAAAGAATGGGCAAAAATGTCACTCTCTAGCTGGTATAGACATCCCCAAAAAGACTTGCAGCTGTAATTGCAGTGAAAGGTGGTTCTACAAAGTATTGACTCAGGGGGGGCTCAGTACAAATGCATGCCACACTTTTCAGATATTTATTTGTAAACAATTTTGAAAACCATTTATCATTTTCCTTCCACTTCACAATTATGTGGCAGTGTGTGTTGGTCTATCACATAAAATCCCAATAAAATACATTTACGTTTTTGGCTGTAACATGACAAAATGTGGAAAATTTCAAGGGGTATGAATATTTTTTCAAGGAACTGTATATCCTATGATCATCAGCTCCATTTGGTGGCCATGATGTGGTATTTTCCTAAGTCACGTTATTCTTATGAATTTCAAACATCTGACCAGGAGAGAAAATAGCGTAGCAACATTCAATTTTGCCAGCAACTGCACAGAACAAATGCAATTTTGCAGGATGATTAGTTCTGAGATTTTCTTCTTTAAATGCACTCCATAAAGTAAGATTTTGCCATCAAAAGAAAGCAGCCAACTAGTGTGATATGAATAAGTATTTTTAAAAGAAAAACAAAAAAGACTTGTAGCAAATTTTAGCAGAAAAAAGAAAATATATCATTAGCACTGCACAATTGGCTCACTCACCTGGAACAAGGTATTAGCACCATGTAATCTTGCTGGGCTGAGAGGAGCGACAGGACTTAATGTGCTCCAGAAGTGTATGCTGGAGAGCATGGCATTTGGAGTTAGCAATATGGGGGTCTATTAAAAAAAAAAAAAAAAAAAAAAAAAAAAAAAAAGAAAATTAGAAAATTACAATATTTTAAAACTTGTTTGTTGACACTGCTTGGCTATATACATATATTGGTGCACTAGAAAGAAAATGTGCTTATTAAAATTATAATACAAATACAGACAAACGAAGGGTTTGCCCACAAAGAAAAACAACAAGGGCTCATTATAGGAAGCTTGTGATGTAGGTTGACATTGCAATCACATTTACACCAGAATTCCTGATTGGCACTACTAGGTAACAAATTACAGAAGATTTTGGATCACCAGGAAGGACAAGCAACTAGAATTTTCAAAAAGGGCACAGATTACAGACTCTGGTTTTTTATAACCACCTTTTAACTTGAGATCAGTTGAGGCAATGGGGGTATAACCAATTTTAGGTTGAATTTCCAATGGAAACACTGACAAACATGTAACCGGATTATAACTTATTTTAGGTTGAATTTATTCCAGAAACAGTGGCAAGCATGGAACACATTTCTGACAGAGAGTGTGTGAAGTATTTAGTACAATGGCAATGTAGATGATTAGTCATACCCTGACTGACAATGCAGAATAGAGGACTTACCGATATAAGTACTTTTTAACCTTTTTTAACCCCATCACAAGAAAAGATAAAGGTAGGAAAAATGGCAATAAATAATATATAAATGTGCATGTTTTATCCTGCATCAAAAACCCACATGGACAGTAGGTTATATGGATTCCATTAGCATAGTTCACACTAGGGTGATCTGTTCCAGGGAAGAAAAAACAAAACTTTTTTTTTTCCCTGGAACATGGCAAAAGGCATCAAAAACGCACCAAACGCATTGCAACAAACGAAAAAAAAAAAAAAAACTGAACTGGAAAACACTGAAAAACACATTTAAAAAAAAAAAAAAAAAAAAAAAAAAACAACATGCATGCAGAATGAGTTTTGTGTGATCTTTAAGCAAAAACGCATCTGTGTTGTGAACCAGCCCTGAAACTTTAGTGTATGCACAGTCAACTTTATGACCAACCACACCAGGTTCGGATATTTCAAGCAAAATTTCAAGACTGTTCCAACACTGATTTCTGGAGATTTAGGGTCCACCCAAATCTCTGTAGGATCTGCATGATACATTGAATGTTGGCTGATAGAGCTGACTGTGCCCTTAGAATAATGTTGTCAGATATCCCCTATGGGGAAGCCATGACAGGGAAGAATAATGTCAGATATCCCCTATGGGGAAGCCATGAAAGGGAAGAAAAAAAATGGGGACTTGGTGAAAGCCTGGGATGAAGTGGACAGGCAAAAAGGGAAGGATAATAAAATGCAAGAAGCGCAGATGGCTGTATGTTGCTGTGGGTTTGTGTTTTTGTAATTTATCAGCACTGTGATGTCAGGGCTTCAGAAAAGACAAAGGGTCTGCCGAGTGAAAGGCGTGGGGGTGTTCAGGGCTTTACAACAGAAAAAGGGCTGCAGACACAAGGATTGGGGAATGGGGAGGGGGAGCTGGTGGCCTCAAGCCCTGGCTGAGCCTGCCCCACTCATATTTTAAGCTGACAAACATGTTATACTTGCCTGCATTGTGCAAAATTGTTGCACACAGAAGTCCCAATCCTCCTCTTCTGGGGGCCCTTCACCAGTGCTTCTGGCTCCTCCTGCCTTTTTTAAGCACCCGCCCATCAGCAAGCCACTTGTCATGGTTACTTACCACAGGATTTGACTGACAGCAGAAGGAGCCACTTGCTCCCGTTGCTACCAATCTGTCCTGTGAGGAGGGAGACAACAGAGAAAGCCGCTGCTCCTGTGCACAGCGCCGCACAGGCTCAGTTAAGTATAAGTGGGCTGGGACACAGAAGGTTTTTTTTTTTTTTTTTTTTTTTTTTACCAGAGAATGCATTTAGGTACAAAAAAAAAAAAAAAAAAAAAACACCTTTAAGACAACCCAACTCGGTATATTTCAAATTATTTTGATAAAATGGGGAAAAGTCATTAGATCCCCTAAAAACTGTATGGGTTGTTTGACAAGGTGAGAGTTCACATATACTTTAACACAAGACTTGACAAATCCCAGGCGCTAGGTTGCCATGGTGATTAGGGCGCCTGGGTCTTGGTCAGCTGTCCGGCACATCGCTTTAGTCTCCTATCCGTACCTCTCTGCATGTATGGACAAGAGGAATTCTAATTGGTCAGTGCCATCACATGGATGACGCTGACCAATCAGAATCTGTCTAGCCTGTCCTGTCACTGTTGGAAAGAGAGCCACAGGGATTTCAAACCTCTGAACCAGTGAAGCGCCGTCCTGGTGCCTGACAGCGGGGTATCGTGGGACACCAGTACAACAGGACTGAGGGGAGATGGGGAGGGGGCCAGTGTAAGGTCACCTAACAGATTTTCTATAAAGGTGAACTTACACTTTCAATGTGTCATCCTGGCCCACCTACACAGCAAGCAAGCTAGCTGGCCTGTAACTTCCTACTTTCCCCTGGTTACTTATTATTATTATTATTATTATTATATTCTTCTACAAAACAGCCCAGAGCCAACCGGAGCCTCTTGTCCGGCCTCACGCTCCAGTTCATGGCATACACGGTCCATGGTGCCTTTTAGTTGTAGATCTCCTTCCGTTTGCAGTCACATGGCAGACAGCACAAAACCCCAACACCATAACACAAACACAAGACATTCTAGGGATGCCACAACAAATGAGCAAAAGATGCTGAAAGATACAGCTTCTATGGCTTCAGAGCTTGCCAGTTACCAGCAAGGGGGCGGGCCACGAACCACAAACATTCCGAGGGGAGGATACGATGCGGATTGGCTACATGGCTTTTGTCCCTATGCTCTCATTCGGCGTGCTGTCTAGGGTCCAGAGGAGCGAGCTCCAGGTCCGTTTCATGCCTCGCTTTGGCGTGAAGTATAAAAAGAGGCAGGAGCGGCAACAGGCCTGGAATGCTCAGTCTTTAATGCCAAAGGCCTATTTTTTGTCCTAGTCTGGGCCTTGCACCAGGCGTGAGCAATTCCTATTGCCCAATTCCCCGGACATCCAGTTTTGGGCACCAGGCAGCCGATTTAAAAAACTGGCTCCTAATTTTTTTTTTAGTTGGCTCCTAGATTCAAAGAGGATTTGTCAAGCCCTGCTTTAACAGAAAATTGCTACCTTCACTTTATGTTCAGGGGACAACATTCTACCAGAAATTAAGTTTGGGATAATGTACAACAGGGAAACAAGCAATAGAAAACGGACTAGCTCTGTTCTAGCCTTCCCCTACTTTAACACAACATTTTCACCTCTCTCTGTGTTGCTTACAGAGAAGTCCCCTCACTCTCTTTACTGAGGAATTTTTTTTTTTTAACCAGACAGAAAGTGAAGTAATCTCTCCAATGAAGCCTTCAACAGCAGTACAACCTGACAGATGTTCCAATCTTTCCCCACTCTATCCAAAATTAAAAAATAAAGTTTTAGCTAAAGATACACTAACTGCTAAAATGTGGGTTTCATCATAATTCCCAAGCTACTAAAAAGAGCAAACAATAAATGAAAAGATGGGTGTGAACAGCAACCCCCCGCCGCCAGGAAGTAGGACAGAAAGATCTTATTCAATGATAAGAAGCTAGAGGGTGGCTAACTTTGCCAGGCTCCACCTGTCATATATATATATTGCTTTTGGTACTTTTTGGGAGAGTGAGGAAAAGATAGAAAAGATTCTGTCAATTTTTTTCATTTGTCCATTGTCCCTGGGGGACATTTTTTCACTACTTCCTGCAACTACCCAAAAACAAACAAAAAATAAATAATATATACAGTGAAGGAAATAAGTATTTGATCCCCTGCTAATTTTGAATGTTTGCCCACTCACAAAGAAAGGATCAGTCTAAAAATCAAATGTTCATGAGGGAAATAAGTATTTGATCCCCTATCATTCAAGCAGGATTTCTGGCCACCAGGTCTCTTTCATATAGGTAACAAGCTGAGATTAGAAGCAGTCTCTTAAAGGGAGTGCTGCTAATCTCAATTTGTTACCTGTATAAAAAGACACCTGTCCACAGGAGCAATCAAACAATCAGATTCCAACTCTCCACCATGGCAAAGACCAAAGAGCTGTCCAAGGATGTCAGGGACAAAATTGTAGACCTACACAAGGCTGGACTGGGCTACCTAACTATCGCCAAGCAGCTTGTTGAGAAGGTGACAACAGTTGATGCAATCATTCGCAAATGGAAGAAACACAAAACAACAATCAGTCTCCCTAGGTCTGGTACACCCTGCAAGATCTCACCTCGTGGAGGTGTCAATGATCATGAGAACAGTGAGGAATCATCCCAGAACTACATGTGAGGATCTTGTCAACGATCCCCAGGCAGCTGGGACCAAGGTCACCAAGAAAACAATTGGTAACACACTACGCCGACAAGGATTGAAACCTGCAGTGCCCGCAAGGTCTCTTTGCTCAAAAAAGCACATGTCCAGGCCCGTCTGAAGTTTGCCTCTGAACATCTGAATGATAGAGGACTGGTTGAAAGTGTTGTGGTCAGATGAGACCAAAATCAAGCTCTTTGTCATCAACTCAAACTCACCGTGTTTGGAGGAGGGGGAATGCTGCCTATGACCCCAAGAACACCATCCCAACTGTCAAACAAGGTGTGTAAACATTCTGCTTTGGGGATGTTTTTATGCTAAGGGGACAGGACAACTAGACCGCATCAAAGGGACGATGGACGGGGCAATGTACCGTCAAATCTTGGGTGAGGACCTTCTTCCCTCAGCCAGCGCATTGAAAATGGGTCATGGATGGGTGTTCCAGCATGACAATGACTCAAAAACACACGGCCAAGGCAACAAAGAAGTGGCTCAAGAAGAAGCACATTAAAGTCCTGGACAGGCCTAGCCAGTCTCAAGACCTTAATCCGATTGAAAATCTGTGGAGGAAGCTGAAAGTTCGAGTTGCCAAATGTCAGCCAAACCTTAATGACTTGGAGAGGATCTGCCAAGAGGAGTGGGCCAAAATCCCTCCTGCGATGTGTGCAAACCTGGTGGCCAACTCTAGGAAACGTCTGACCTCTGATTGCCAACAAGGGATTTTCCACCAAGTCATGTTTTGTGAAGGGGATCAAATACTTATTTCCCTCATGAACATGCAAATCAGTGCATAATTTGTTAGACATGCATTTCTTTTGAATTTTTTGTTGCTATTCTATCTCTCAGTGTCGTGTGTGTGTGTGCGTGTGTGTAGGGTGCAGTTGTCACCAGGAAAGCTACGATAAGCAATAAAAAGATTAAAGCCATAAAAGAGGCACTAAATAAGTTTATGCTTGAGTTGGACTTCAAATACGCAATAAACATAAACAAATTAAGAAGTATATCATTACAAGCACAAAAATGAAGCAAAACAATCAGGATTTATGATGTAGAGGTAGCTTTCATATTGTACTGCAAGTTGGATTCCATTAGGTGCATTATCTAATATCATTAAAGCACCTACATACATACAACCCCTGGCAAGTATGGACTCTTGGAAAATGTTCATTCAATCGTTTAATTGTGTAGAAAAAAAAAAAAAAAAAAAAAAAAATCACAGACATGCCTCAAAACTATTTTAATTTAACACTCCAACCTTCTGGCTTTAAGAAGCACTTAAAAAAATAAAAAAAGAAGAAAGAAAAATGTAGTCAACTGTTTTTGCAGATCATGCAAAGGAAAAAAAAAATGGAGAATGAAATCACTCAATTCTGAGGAAAATATCATGGAATTGCCATGTACTTTGCAGTTCTAAACAAACAACTGCATCAGATCTGCTAATTAGTTTGCAGTTTAAAAAAAAAAAGTGCTTGTACACCTTGGTTAGCTGTTGCACCAAGCTGATTGACATGAATCATGGCTCCAACAGGAGAGATGTCAGTTGAAAGAAATGAGAGGATTCTAAAACTTCTTGAAGAAGGTAAATCATCACGGAATGTTGCAAAAGATGTTGATTGTTCTCGGTCTGCCGTGTCTAAAATCTGGACCAAGTACAAAATCAAATGGGAAGGTTGTAAAAGGGAAGCGTACTGGCAGACCAAGGAAGTCATCAACGCGTCAAGATAGAAAACAAAGTAATATGCCTTGAAAACAGAAAATGCACAACAAAAATTAGGAACAAATGGGCAGCAACTGTAATCAATGTCTGTGACTGAACTGCAAGACATCACATAAAAGAAATGGGATTTACATACAGAAAGGAAAAAATGAAAGCCATCATTAAACACCAAAAAAAAAAAAAAAAAAAAAAAAAAAAAACACACATGGCTACAGCGGGCTAAAGAAAAGCAATCATGGACTGTGGATGACTGGATGAAAGTGATATTCAGTAATGAATCACAAATCTGCATTGTGCAGGCCGATTATGCTGGAACATTTGTATTGTGTCGTAACAGTGAAATGTATAAAGAAGATTGCCTGAAGAAAACATGCAAATTTCCACAATCATTGATGATAAGGGGTTGCATGTCAGGTAAAGGTATGGGGGAGATGACAGTCCATTAAATCTTCAATAACTGCACAAGTTTATATTGAGATTTTGGACACTTTTCTTATTCCATCAATTGAAAGGATGTTTGGCCATGATGACGACGACTTCATTTTTCAGGATGATAATGCATCTTGCCATAGGGCAAAAGCCGTGAAAACTTTCCTTCAAGAAAGACATAGACTGTCAATGGCATGGCATGCAAATAGTCCAGACCTCAATCCAACTGAAAATCTATGGTGGAAATGAAAGAAAATGGTCAAATGACAAGACTACCTGCAAAGCTGACCTGGCAACTGCAATAATAGAAAGTTGGAGCCGGATTGATGGAGAATACTGTTTGTCGATAGTTAAATCCATTCCTCAGAGAATTCAAGCTGTTATAAAAGCCAGAGGCGGTGGTGTACTGTACTACAGTACTAGTGGTGTACTGTAGTGTTTTTTTTTCATGAATCCATAATATTTTCCTTAGAATTGAGTGAATCCATATTTATTTCCTCTGCTTGATCTAAAAAAAAAAAAAAAAAAAAAAAAAAAAAACTGTTGCAACTGACCAGTTTTCTTTTTTTTTCTCTTGAAGTGTTTCTTACAGCCAGAAGGTTGGAATGTTAAATTAAAATAGTTTTGAGGCATGTCTGTGATTAGTTTTTTTTCTACATAATTAAACAATTGAATGAACATTTTCCAAGAGTGGTGATTCCATATTTTTTGCCAGAGGTTGGAAGGAACATAAGCCAAACAATTAGGAAACAAACCTACACAGGAAACTTTGACAAGTAAATTAGATTATTAATCTGGGTGTGACAAAACACTAAAGAATGTAGGAGGACAGGCATCCTCCTAAACTGCCCATAGATGGATCGCAATTATTATTATTATTATTATTAATCTATGGCTGTTCCTGCTGGACAGCAGTCGAGCTAGCTATTGATATCTGTCGAATGGAATTATTGGAAAAGTTTTTGTCAATCTACAGCTTGCAAACAATTAGCTGCAGCTGCTGATCAGTGTATGATGACAGCGGAGGAGTCACGCTGTCAGAATACAATGGCACAGCATGGGAGTTTCCTCCATTCACATCAATTATGTGGATGGGGGGGAAGCAGTTCAAGTTTTTTCAATTAGACTTCTGGCTGATTAAAAAAGACAGGCATATAAGGCCAGCCTTAAGATCCCAAAGAAAAACCTTAAAAAAGGTGTCAAAACCAAAAACAGACTACTCTTTTCAAAAAGCTATGACATTGTAATGTAATGCAATGCATAGCAACAAGGGCTAGTCATTGAACTGAGGAACTGTGGAATTAAAATGTTAATGGGAATCACACAGCGTTTTGGGTCAGTTCAAAACCAAGACAGATTAAAATAGTCATTACCTGGGAGAAGAATGCTGGTGTAAGAGATGCTGTGGGTAGTGAGGGGCTGAGAATACCCAAGGGGTTGGAATCACTTGTAGTGATTACCAATGTGGGAGTCAACTCTAGCTCTTTAGGCTTTTTAGATTTTCCAGTCTTCATATCCAGCACATAGCGTTCAGGTTCATGCTCAGTTTCAGTTTCAGCTTCAGGATCATTTTCAGACTCTGGATAAGTTTGAGGCTCAGGTTCTTCCTCCTGCACATGCAGTTTTGATTCCTGAACATTCATAGTTACGTCACTTGGAAAATCAAGGGACTGTGAAGTTACAGATTCCAAATCTGTATCGATGGTCATGTCCTGATTAGAATTCAAAGCAGGTGATAATGTTCCAGAAGGCACCAGAATGGGTGAGATACAAGTGGTTGGAGGAGGAAGGCAAGAGTTAATGGGTATGTCTGGAGGAGACTCTGAAGGTTTATTTCGAGGTTCTGGGGGTTGGGCAGGATCAGATGGGACAATAGATGCAGGCTCTAGATTTCTGGCTGGTGTTGTCACAAACTTAATCACTGATGTGGGTGGCTCTAAGGCCACTTTCTTCTCTGTTGGATTTTCCATTGCAGTAGGTCTGAAAAGCTTTACACCAGCTGTATTCAGCGAGTTAAGGGTAAACGATGTGTACAGACCAGAGTGAATGTAATCATTACGCCCTGACGATTTAGCAGGAGGAAATGGTAGGCGATCCTTGTTACAGTTTTCTTTATCTCGCAAAACACATGTGTTTGCAGCATCAGCTGGGTTCCCATCCATTTCTTCTCCTCTACCCAAGGCCAGTGGATCCATAGTAAGGATGTCCGGGTATGAGACAAACTTGTAAACAAACTTTTGTCCATTTACCTTTTTGATAATATTCTGAAGAAAAGAAATATGGTTAATAACATATTCCTCAAATTATTAAAATAACACAAAAAAAAAACATTAGCTTTCTCATAGAGACTACACCTGCCTATATTTATTTTCAACCCTTTCTCTGAATAGGGGTGACTATACAAAGACAGATGCCAAAGGAAATTAGTCTCTCCAGGGCACAAGCAGCTACACCACTGACCAATGTCCACTATAATAACAAAATGGCTATGGTTTAAAGACCTGGACCCAACAGTTTTCTCAGTATGAACTAAAGTTTCATGGGCAGCACAACCAACCTGCAAATATAGTATTCATCAAATTGTAAAGCATAACCCTTTACAATTAGATAAGCATTTTTTTACCTTTACATAGTAGTAGCGGAGTGCCCTGCTCAGTTTGTCATAGTTCATACTTGGCTTGTTCTTGCGCACACCCCACACCGGGCCACTTCCTCAGCCTGAAGAAGTTTAAACTTCCCATCATTTGAAATCCAACAAATAAGGTTGCTGTGGTGAGGTTCCTGAAGAAGCTGAAGCAAAAACTGCCATAGAGTAATCGCACTATCCATTATTAAGCTCTAGAGAAAAAAAAAGTAGAATTCAATAAAATTTTTTCAGCAGCACACAGCAGACATAATTTAAAAAATTTCCCAATTTTGTCAATGCATTTATCTACATACTAAAAGTTACTTGGAAAACTGATCATTATAAACATGTAGTTAAGAAGTACAAGTGTTTTTTATCAAACAATCAGAAGGACAAAAGATATAATTTATTCGTCAAAAAGACAACAGATCAAAATGCAGTCCCCAATACAATGCATTCTTCTCTTGATAATTTTGTAAGCTTATGAAATACGACCAGCAGTTATAAGCAACTGCTCCTCTTTTAAAGACATTCTGAATAGCTCAAAATGCATTGTAAATAATTAAAATATAAATCGAATGGGGAAAAATGAACAACTTGTATGTTTCCTATTTACAGGCAAGTTTTGTTTTTTTTATATATACTTCTCTACATTTAAAAGGGAAACCAGGACCATGAGAATATGGGGACTGTCATTTTACACATCTTCAAAATAATATGCTAGTCGCCTTACAGTCTTGCTATACAAATGGCTTGAACAATTTTGAGTTACCAACCTAAAAACCATATGTAGATTAGAAGTTCTGAAATTCTTTTCTGCATGCTTGTTCTTGGTCAGTGAATCAAAGTTGTTTACCCAGAGATAGACAAGCTACTAGCATTTTCAATAGGAGGTCAGCAATCGTAGTTTCCATATGTCTTTCAGCAGAGGTTTACTTTAACAGCTGGCCACTTTACATAAACGGCCAGGTGGGACAAGCACTGTTCTGAGAGGATGTACCCAATCATTCTCTCAGATTGGCTCCTTCTGCATGCCCCCAGGGGTGCGCATTGGCACAATTGCGTGATAGCTCTGTCCGCCTGTGTACCGAGTGGTAAGGCCCACCTTGGTACCATGTAATCACTGTGACCAAGTTACAGTGATCACATGTCCAGTAGTAAAGATGGCTGCCATTGATGCAGCCATTCAGAACTACTGTGAGCTCTATAATTGGTCACATGGTACAGGGCCAAGCATTACCTCTATTCACTAAACCCCCTTCACTTTTTTCAATTTTGTTATGTTGCAATCTGATACTAAGGTTGTTTAAATTAATTTGTCTAAATAATCTACACTCAGTATTCCATAATGTAAAAGTGAAAACGGAATTTTTTATTAAATCTGTGAAATGAATAAATAAGTCCCAGTGCAAAGTCCTTAAATACAATCATATGTCTTCAATCACTAGGATGATCATATATGTCTAAGTGCAGTACATATCACCCCACTCAGTGTAAAATATCCTTAAGTGCAGTCATATATATCTTCAATTAATAAGGTGATCAGACACATCCAAGTACAACACGTGTCATCCCACTCAGTGCTCAAGGGAGGCTTACCAGATAAATTTGACCATCGTGTTATAGATTGGTCAAATAAGACACAAATATGATCAAATGGCAACCACCCCAACTTACTCCACAGCCTCCAAACATAGGTCAGATAGCGTTCACCCACTCCATACGTATCATTGATGCCAAGCATGTAATGGGCATGTGCAGAGAACAAAAAATACTTCCCATAGTGTAAAATCCTTGGCAAAACTTATTCAAACCAAAGAATTGCACCCTAGCTCCACCAGATGCGTGTCAGTGGGGGGGGAGGAGTAGCGCCCCGTCGTTGGTGTCAGTGGGGGGGAGGAGTAGCGCCCCGTCGTTGGTGTCAGTGGGGGGGAGGAGTAGCGCCCCGTCGTTGCTGTCAGTGGGGGGGAGGAGTAGCGCCCCGTCGTTGCTGTCAGTGGGGGGGAGGAGTAGCGCCCCGTCGTTGCTGTCAGTGGGGGGGAGGAGTAGCGCCCCGTCGTTGCTGTCAGTGGGGGGGAGGAGTAGCGCCCCGTCGTTGCTGTCAGTGGGGGGGAGGGAGTAGCGCCCCGTCGTTGCTGTCAGTGGGGGGGAGGAGTAGCGCCCCGTCGTTGGTGTCAGTGGGGGGGAGGAGTAGCGCCCCGTCGTTGGTGTCAGTGGGGGGGAGGAATAGCGCCCCGTCGTTGGTGTCAGTGGGGGGAGGAATAGCGCCCCGTCGTTGGTGTCAGTGGGGGGGAGGAATAGCGCCCCGTCGTTGGTGTCAGTGGGGGGGAGGAATAGCGCCCCGTCGTTGGTGTCAGTGGGGGGGAGGAATAGCGCCCCGTCGTTGGTGTCAGTGGGGGGGGGAGGAATAGCGCCCCGTCGTTGGTGTCAGTGGGGGGGAGGAATAGCGCCCCGTCGTTGGTGTCAGTGGCACCAATGATGGGGCACTATTCCTCCCACTGACACCAATGACACTTGCTGACCCTTGTTCCAGCATGGTGCTGCTGCAGCCAGCATACGTGGTTGCAGCAGCACCTCTGCACGGCCTCTCCCTCACTCGATTTTCGTGGGACCACTCGGCTCCGCCTCCTCGCCGGTGATTGGCTGCCTGTGTGCCTTTCCTGAGCTACAGTTCTGGCGCCCAATCACCAGTGAGGAGGCGGAGCCGAGCGGCCGCACGAACATCGAGCGGCCGAACTGAATGAAGGAGCAGCCGCGCCTCCTGGACTGGATCGTCGTTGGACTGGGACCAGAGCCAGGTAAGAAACAGCAGCCCCCTGCCCGCCCCTGTACTTATTGTCCCTTCCGTTGGAAGGGGGGGGGTGGCGGCAGCACCGCGCCGCCCCCCCTAAAAAGTGCCGCCCTGACACAAAGTGTCAGCATGCCGTATACCGGCGTATAAGACGATTTCCGACTTTTGAGAAGATTTTCATGGGTTAAAAAAGTCGTCTTATACGCCAGAAAATACGGTACATGCAGTCCCCGAGTTACATACGAGGGAGACAACAGGAAGTGAGAGGCAAACTTCTCCTAGGAAGGGAAATTCACTCCTGTAAGAGTTATCATGGGGAAAAACGTGTCTCCACTGAAGCTTTATCACCAATCCTGGTTTCCATGACAACCCAAATTGTTCAAAATCAAAATTGTCACAGGGACAAAAAGTGAGATGAAATCTTCTAAACAGTTGCACGGACAGAAAAACAGACATTACAGAGGTGTCAAACCTTCCCTATGCGATTCAAAAAACGTAATTATTTTTTTGGCTGGAGTTGGACTTAAAAAAAAAAAAAAAAAAAAGAAGTACCTGGGACTGCCTGCATAAAACTTTATGTATAGCCTGTCGCCCTTTCACAGCGCGTATACATTTTGACCCCAGATCTGGCATGCTTGCTGGGGAGATATTGCTTAAATGCAAAGCAGCCAGTGAAACGTATGAGGGACTCGTCTACGCAGATAATTTGTAGGGGTGTATATACATCTGCAAATTTCACAGTGATGTAGCTTGCGTAGTTTAGATGTAGCCAAATTTTGTAGAGCCAATCATATTTGGGTCACCCCGAGGACGACAGCGTGTATTATCAATTCATATAAATTTCCTGGCCATTGCAGCAGAGAACATGGGCATATGTATAACTGCAATTCTTTTTTGTAATGCCCATATTAAGGGTTAGGCCCAAAAACGTTTTAAATTCAGAAACCAAGACAGGTTTCCACACAAATTGCCTGCCATGAGTTGAATTTGGGTTGATCGCAATGTACTGGTGAGCATAAAGATTGATTTGGTCCCCAATCAAATGATACAGCTCTTCCGTGAAAAAAATGCTCAAAAAAAGGAGAGTTGTTAAAATCCACTGTTAAAATCCACCTGGTTTCCGGGTTTGGCTGTGATTGGGGGAATAAAGGATGCTGCCTAATCTGTGGGCTGCCAATCAGGATTTGCAAGCAAATCTGAAAGGACACTAAGGGCTTTATGGGTCTGTGTTCGAAATTCTTGGTGGTTGCGGGATGCTGCTAGTGCTAGCCACCTCACCAGCTTAGACTTTACTTATGAAACTTGCCACATCACTAGTGCTGATATATAAAATACCAGGGTGTACTAGGCCACTAGTGCTTGCCAGCTCACCAAAAGGTAGTGCAGCACTAGTACTGGCACCCTGCTGCATATCAGACAAATCATGCATTCTTAGCACTTCAGCTACCTGGACCTCTTCTCCATCGTCCGAATTCCTTGTTGGGGTGCCACTGTTTTCTACAGGTTTGTGTTCTGAGCCCAATTCGGACAATGAGGCTTCCCTTTCACTCTCATCCATCATCCTCAGAATCCTGTAGACCTCTTTACTCATGTACCTTTCTTTGTACATTTTAGGCACTAAATTTACAAGTACGACTTATGGGTAAAAGAGCTCCTGGCCTTCAGGGACTGCTTGAAACGCTATAAATAAAAAAAATTCACCTGCTAGTGTTAACACAGATCAGACCTGATCTTTTTAACACTGCAGTTTTATGTGCAATATTTTAGAGGTGACAGTGATCTACTGGACACTGCACTTGTTGGGGGAAGACGAAGGGGCTAAATGCAAGTGCAGGCAGCAAACAAGGCTGATCGTGCAAATGCTGGGTTTTGAGGGACACTCTGCTAAAGGGGGAAACTAGTACAACTCTGATCCGTACATACACTATACTAGCAATGGTGGAGATCAGCAACCTATAGTGTGAGTGTGATAGTGTGTCGTCAATATAACGTTAGCTGACTCCCGGGCTGAACCCAATGCAATCTGATGTCACTAGTGACAGTATTACAGTGAAAAACACTGTACAAATGGCACTAGCTAGGTGATGGGGGGAGCAAAGGGTTAATGAGGGTGATCAAGGGGTTAAAAGTATGGTGCAAGGTGTGCCACTTTTACTCACTGTGTGGTGTTCTCTCTCCTCTTACTGGACCGAAAAGGGTACAGGAAGAGAATGAACAGTTAGATCGGCTGCCTGCGTTTACAAATACAGTCACAGGCCAATCTCTCATTGGCAGCAGGTGATCAGCGAGGTCCTGGGCGAAAATCATTGGCCAGGACCCTCTGACAAACTGGTCCTGCAGCTGACAGCTCAGGTTCCTGGATGTGTGCACGGACCCAGATAAAAGCCACAATGTACAGATACTTCACAGTGCCTGCAAAAAGC